CAAAATATGATTCCTACATATTACTATGTTGTTCATTTTTATCTTTCAATATAATTGATGGCATTATCTCCTTATAAATTTAGGCTCATAGTTTTCATCTCTAAATTATTGCAACGTGTGTTTCACTCTATATAGAACATAACTACAATATGTATTGTGTTTGTAAATCAATATATATGCATAAACATTATATTGATATTACAAATTTAATAAATGTTCAATTGGCAAAACAAAAATGTACATTCTATTTTATATAAATGAACAAATTATCACAAATAACATAAGCATATATATATCACAAATAATGTAAGTGACAATAGGTGATTTATTTTTTAACATATTTTAAAATAGAATCATCAAAGGTTTATGATGAATGAGCAATATGTAATTTATTTTTGAACATTTTTAGACATGTGAATGAACATGCATTAACATATCTGTGAATAATATACACATATCCAAATGAACATCTATGTATCAAATTCGAATAAGCATCTATCAATATTTGAGCGAAAATGTATGTAGTATAACATTCAAATGATGCTCATGAGCATATAATTTAATATGAACTTAAACATGTATTAGTATAATCTATGTGGATATTTTCAATATGAGAATGAAAATGTACGTAATTACATTCAAATAAACATATGTTTAAATACCAGTAAACATTTATTAATATGTAAAGATCATGAACAAAATTAGAGTAATATTCTCTCAAGAATTCAAGAATGAACCCTAGTAGATGTAAGGTAAGAATATAAATGATCATATACTAGTATCATAATGAACATCTATCAAATTGAAAATGAACATTTACTGAAAATGAACATTTGTTCAGTAATCGTCTTCTCCGACGGAACCTTCGAAGTATTCTTCTCTGTTTCGTTTTTACTAATTAAAAATACCACCAAATATAGTAGATTTTAGTCTATTTTGCACAAAAATAAGTGTAATTATAGTAGAGTTTGTTTTAGAATATCAAAACGCAAAAAAAAAAAAAAAAAATCTAGGGTTTACATTCAAAATTCTACTTAAATGAACAAATTCTTACTCTTCTTTTTCGGAATTTAGTTGCGATTGACGAACTTCATCTCGAATGTCAGACATTTTTAGATGTTTTGATGCAATTTGCAGTAATTTTGAAGATTTTTTTCTTGAATTGTAGCGATTTTGAGTATTTGAAGAGAGAGAATATGGTGTTGAAGAGAAATGAAGAATTAACTGCAAGTTCTAACTAGTGCGGTTAGTGGGATGCAGTTAGTAGGGTGTGGTTAGTGGGGGTAAGGGTTTTACAGTAATTTTAGGGGGGGAGTAGGTATTAATGGCTGAAGGGGGGTGTAGTGAATAGGAATTACAACTCAAGAAGGTACTTATAAGGCCCAATTAAGCATTAGGAAGGGCTAAATCAGCCATTACAAAAAAAAAAAAAAAAAAAAAAAGGCCCAATTATAGAAAACGTTGACTTACACAAGTAATTAATACAGTACCTATTACTTCGTACGTTAAACATAAATAAAAAAAAATAAATTAAAAAAAAAAAAAAAAAAGTTGGAGTTCATGCTGGGAATGGCCCACACAAGACCGCAACAACTAGGGGTGAGCAAAGACCCAGGGTACCCGGTACCGGACCCGGAACCGGTTAGGATCCGCCGGGTCCGGACCCGGAACTGGTCCCACCGGTTCCGGGACCGGGTCCAAAATGTCGGACCCGGTTGTAACCGGTTCCGGGACCGGGTCCTAAAATTTCGGACCCGGTACCCACTGGGTACCCGGTTTAAACCAATTCCAGTTCCGGGTACCCGGTCCCGGATCCAGACAATCCGGGTACCCGGAACCGGTACTGATTTAGTTATAAAAAATTATTTTTTTTTAAAAAACCCAACAATCCACAGTCCAATACAACATTAGGCCCATTTCATCCAACTCATTTCTGCTAGGGTTTCTGTCAGCCACTAAGCCTCCTCATTTCATTGAATTCATTTTTGCTAGGGTTTTGTTCTTCTCTGTTCATTCTCAATCTTCTCTGTTCTCCTCTGAAAATCTCATCTTGTCTTCTTTCGTTCTCATCAATTCACTGATTCTCGGTCTTCTTTCGTAAGTATTTTTCTCTTGGTACTCAAAATCTCATCCTCTCTTTCGTTCTCATCAAGCCACCGAACGACTGTCTCTTTCGTAAGTATTTTTCTCACTTTGTTTGCTTTTTGTTTCATCTTGCATATGTAGATCTCTGGTACTGTTTATTACTGCTTGCATTTTCTTTGGAGATAGTTAGAGTGTTTATGTTAATTTTAATTTTTATTTTCTTCAATTTCTGAGGGTGTTACGAGTGTTTAATATGCTGAAATCAATGAATTGGTACAAATTGACTGCACTTATAGTCTTTTTCTGCAATTTCTGGGTGTTTGAATAGATTCTTATTGAGTATTAATTGGTGGGTACCATTTTTAGTTGCTGTACATGTTTAGTTCAGTCATTGCTTTTATAGAAGTTGTTGTTTGGCTGTTAACATTGTGGTGTTGATCTCAGTACATGAGGTGGGTACACTGGGGTTTCGTTTTAATGATGTTATGTTTGCTGCTTGCATTCTCCCTGATAGAGTTAAAAACATTGGAAGAAACAGAGTCAATAACTCAATGTTCTATCTTTTGGCTTTTACCACTTGCGATGGATTAGTGGAAAAATTTCTTTAGAGGAGATATTTCCCAAAGTTCAAAAATTTTTTGTTGAATTTTTTTCCTGACTGAATGATTAAATAAAAAAATCATACTACACTACACTACAATCCCATCTTCTGATCACATTCACCTTGCATCTTTGCAATAGTGTTTTTTTTTTTTTTTTTTTAATCTAGTTATCATGATATTGGTTTACCTTGTTTTTTTCAGATTTTCAGATCTATTTCTTGTTTTATTGAGCTGGTCTTTTCTGAAATTTGTAGTTGTGGAGAAAGATGTAGATGGTGATGCATAGGGGTGAAAGTGAATCGGTGTAAAACCGAACCGAATCGAAAAACCAAACCGAATAAGGAATGTGGTTCGGTTTTTTGGGAGGGTGGTTCGGTTTCGGTGTCAAAAATAAAAAAATTTCGGTTTTCGGTTCGGTTTCGGTTCGGGAAATTGAAAAACCGAACAAAACCGAACCAAACTGAATTATAAGCCCAATCCTACAAAACCCCTGCCTGGCCCAAAACTAAATACCCTAGGTATATAATGAAAAAATAAAAAAAACCCTAATTCCTCTAATCCTCTCAGCCTTTCTCCACTCTTTCGTCCTCCCTCCTGTCTGACTGTCTCCTCTGAGTCTCCGACCACCGTCCAGTACACCAGGACACCAGGCGACCACCGTCAACGGTCCACCTGCTTCTCTCTCTCCTGTCTTCTCCTACTAATTAAGGTATGAAATATGCAATTTGCGAATTCAATTTGCGATTTTAATCGTTTCTCTACTTACTTGCTCTCTCCTGTCTTCTCCTACTAAAGTACTAAATACTAATCGTTGCTACTGCATGTTCAATTGTGAATTGCGATTTTAATTTGCGATTTTAACTTGCGATTTTACTTGCTACATTTTAATTTGTGAAGAATATGGCAATTGGTGATGCTAAAATTGATGAAGTGGTCGAAATACTTGAGTGATTGCTCTGTGCTGCTACTGCTGTGTTGATCTGCTGCTACCGGGTACCCGGTTTTGGAACCGGTTCCTACCGGGTCCGGGACCAGTTCCAAAAAATTTGGATCCGGTATTAACCGGTTCCGGGACCAGTTCCAATTCTTGGGACCCGGTTATAACCGGTTCCGGATCCGGGTATTACAAATATGACCGGGTACCCGGTCTTGCTCACCCCTAGCAACAACCTTACACAAGTTGGTTTACTTTGTCCAACAATTATCAGGCCCAACTTACCCTTTTTATTTAGAAAATTAATTTTGGGGGCCCTTCAAATGAGGGCCTTGTTTGGCTGCTTATATCTCAAGTAGTCAAGTTGGATTTGTGCTCTAAGCTAGGCAAATGGGCAATTATCTTATTGGATAATTAAAATTTAAGAACGTGATAATTAAATATAAAAAAAGTACTGCATAGAAAATTCTTAAGAGATTCAGCATTCTAAGAGTGAGGGATAACTCAAGTGATTATTATTTTCCTTCGATTCGAGGTGATCCTGAAAACGATTCTCATCATTCGCCTTTGTAACTCTCTTAACACCCAAAAAATGGAAGCCAAACATTCTCCTTGACAAGCATCACAAAGAATTCCAAGCGTTCTCCGTGACAAGCATCACAAAGAATTCCTACATTTTTATTTAGCTGTATTATGTAACACTTTGATTTATTTTTACCCTATTTATTTATTATTTTTACCCTATTTATTATATATTTTTTTACTTTAACTATTAATATTGATTTTCAAGAATAAATATATGGTAATTTATGAACGATCAATCGATCATGTTACCTTGTCATATAATGTATAATCTTAGTATATTAACGTAAGTAAATTGATAATTACACATGTTTCGGGTGAAAACAATGGGACCTTGTCGAAGGTCCGATGAAGTGGAGAAGACTGGATTCGGTCCAAGTGATGTTGGGCCGAAGGTTTCCTGCACAGTAAACACACGTAAACTAGCCTCGGGGGTGTTGCCGAGGAAGGCCCCTCCGATGCTAAAGTCAGTACAGTGTGTAGAAAGAGAACACTATGCAAGAGAATTAACTGCTTGAGGCTTTTTTGAATTGAATGTACAAATGTAATATTGATGGCTTTTATACCTTTGCATATATGGAGAAGTTGGGCCTTAGCCCAATTGGCTTGCCTTGTGGACTGATCTTTGACTTTAGCACAATTGGAGAGATGAACCTTGACCTTGGGCTTTTAATTGGATCATTTAATGATTAGGCCCAATTGGACCAAATTGGACCCAAACAACACATATTGACAGTAGATGTATACATTAACAAACAACTAAATAAACACAAAGTTGGTATATAAACTCGCAACAATTTAACACAAACAAAATCCAAGTTCACATTTTATTAATTATTCGAAATCATCACCATATATAAACTAGTGGAAAATTGACATAGAAATCATATGAAAGAGCACAACTGCTCCCTCAATTATTCCAACAGTAAATTAACAAAATAATTAAAAACCAATTGTACGATGTACACTTGTACAAGGTTATTTAGCACTAATTAACAAAAGCACAATGTTTTCTTATTTCACCAGCTGACCCAGTCAGTACTTGAACCTCACCCATCTTAACCATGGCTTGACCAAACTCAGCAAAGAAAGCCTCCAATGGACCATTAACTAGCTCCTTGATGTACGATAGAGTCGTTAGCGATTTCGTAAGGGCGGCGTCCGATTGGAATAGGCCTCGCCTTTTTAAGAGAAGTTTGTAGTAGCTCAAGTCGAATGTCCTGTGACTTCCAGGGTCCATTTCAGCAATGCTTGTGTTGTCACTTGGTGTTTTGCATTTTCTTGCCTTGAGGTTGGCCGCGTACTCGCTGTCGAGTGATGGGTCTTGCCCGTACCCTCGTCCGCTGAAGTTGTATAGTCGCTCGTTGAATGATGAGCAATGTGCTATTCCTATTGTGTGAGCACCTGCAAATATGGTACATAGCGTAGTTCAGCAAATATAAATGTGCATTATCATTATTCATTTTTTTTAAGGAAATATACATTATATTAATCTTTATTATTTATTTATTTTTTAAAATTAAAATAATGTACTTATTTTAAATGGACATTTTTTAACAGGCGGTTATAGTTTCAAAGTTATTATTGATCGATACTTTTAAAATCATAAATAATTATAAATATATACGTAGTATATAATACAGATTAAAGATTTATAATATTGGATTCATTAGTTGATACAGAATTATCGGAGTAATGTACATACAATTTAGTCTTTGAAAATTCAGTTTCAACCTCTTCTTGACTTGTGGTGTGACTAATTGCACATGATATGGTAAAAGTGGGCCAAAATATTCCAAAAAACATATGAGCAAAAGGCTAAGCTACGACAAAGTTTGAGATGATAGGTTGATGGTTACGCTTACCGGAAAGCAAGACCAAGTCTTTCAAATCAAGACCCTTGCTAGCAAAACTGGTCTGGAGTGAGCTGAAGTTGCTAAATGGTGGTGGGATATCTTGCAGTGCTTCACTGGCGTTTGAAATACGTCCGTCTCGTCGACCAGTTGTTACCGGCCACCATGGACCTCCCTAAAAAAATCACAAACGTACTTAGTAAAGTTGATACGGAGTACAATTGTTTCAGAATGGTTACACATTATTACACATACAAAAATGTTAGTCCTTGACAAGGAGAGTGAAGATTTTAGGAGAAATTAAGTATAAAATAAGGTGAAAAATAAAATCAGGAGACACGAAATATAAAACAAGGTGAAAAATTAAATCCAAACAAAGATCATATAGAGTACTTGTATATTATTGCAAGTGTTAAATAATGTCGTCTATACTTACAACGGTCCAAACTGAATCTCTAGCAACCAAAGCAATAATATCTGCACAAGACACAACACCGGGACATTCTTCTTCAAGCATGCTCTTAACACTATCAATGAAGCCAAACCCTCTTAGTGTCAAATTTGGGTTAGCGGTCTTTTCTGTATCATTGTTTCCAACTTCGGTTTTATTCAAGAGCACTGATCCATCACAACCCTGTAAAATCATCAAATAAAAAAAAAAGTAAATAAAAACAACCACATAGTAAGATATACATTAAGTAAAACTAATAAGAACATTAAAACAAGCAAGTTATAGAAGATTATGACTAACCCTAACGAAGCAATCATGAAATTGCATTCGAAGAAGAGGAGCAGCCATAGACTGAGCATGTGGGATGTGTTGATGCACATAATCTTGCACAATTGCCTCGGCTTTCGGGCAACTTTGAGCATAGTAACCAAGCTTCAATTGTGCCTCAGCAAGGCCTACAAACCCTAATACTCCTAGAAATATCATCACCATCATTTTACTAGAAACACCCATTTTCTTATATTTTTTTCTCCAAACTTCCTAATTAATAAACTTAAGAAGCTCCAATGTTTGTGGTAGTAATTAGTACAGGACATGAACTATATATATAGAGTGAAGTTTGAATTGATCTAGCACAGTACGATTAAGTTGTAATAAAGTAATGCATGATAACTAACTATTCATCATAAATTACACTAACTAACATGTGTTATCTTATTATTTTAAGTAATCATAATTTACGTCAATAAGGTTGTAATTAAATGAGTAGTTATATTACTTTATGACAGTGTAACAACTATAGAGTGATTAATTACGTGATTAGTTAGAGTCGGCCGAAGAAGGTGACAAATAATGACAGTTCAATGACAAGATAGTATTTTCCCTAATACTTTTCATGCATATATGTTTGTGCATATACAACAAATAAGTTGTTCAATAATTTGGGATGAAAGTGATTCAACATTCTTCAATTCTTATCAACATGTTCCACAGATTGTAAAGAGGAATATAATGTACCAAGAAGTTTGCATGTGAAACAAATACACATCATGTGCATGTTCTCCTTAGGCCAAGGGGACGGCCACCCTATGCTAATTGGAGCTTCAAAATAGTAAATCATGCGCGATTTCCTTAAAAAATTACTCAATTATGGTGATATTACTTATTAGTTTGTTTGATTCATATGGATTTTAACTATAATAGTAAGTTGGAGCTTCACAATAGTGAATCATGCGCGATTTCCTTAAAAATTACTCTAATTATAGTGATATTATTAATTAGTTTGTGGACGCCCAAATTATTAATCATGTGTGTAATAGGGTAAGGCATCTTGCACGCCCTCATGGCCTCATCAATGACCATTTTTTTTGCATTCCTTAGCTTCTAACTCTAAGGGAGATAGATGATATTCATGATCAGTTACATTTTGAAAATCACACAAAATTATTATAATATATATATATATATATATATATATATATATATATATATATATATATATATATATATATATATATAACCACTGGTCCAAATTACTCGCAACTTTGAAATATTTTATATAATACCCCAAAGTTGCGAGTAATTTGGACCGGAGGTAGTATATGTTTTCATATATAGAAAATCACAACCTCAAACTCCTCTTTCTCATTTCGTAGAATATTGTTAAAAGGTTTTAAAAGGGTATATATAGGTTGTCCTAAGCTGAAAGAGTTGTATGGAACTCTAGAAGGCCTACTATACTAAAATGTTGTCAAGATCAAGATAAGGTATATGTGAATAGTGCAAATTGAAAAATCAAAGTTGAACAATTACACAACATGTGCATGTTTTCCTTAGGCTTAGGGGACGGCCATATGCTAATTGGAGCTTCAAAATATTAAAACATTGCATGCGCCATTTCTTTGAAAAAAATAACTCCAATTATGGTGATATTATTAATTAGCTAGTTTAATTTAATTAATATTGTTTGATTGATATGGAATTTTTTTTTTTTTTTTTGAGGAAATGATTGATATGGAATTTAACTATGAAAGTATAGACCTATATTCTTTAGAGACCCTCCAAATAAAGCTCTTGGCGGCTATGCAATTGGGCATCCTCATCAATGACCATACTTATGCATGCCTTAGCTTTCTAACTCTAATAATGCTTATAGTATAACATAAATTTGTTTTCATGTATGGAAAATTACAGCCATCGAACTTCTATTTCTACTTTCTTATAATTTGATGTAAAAAGTTTGAAAAGGGCCGGTAAAGGTTGTCCTAATAAGCTAGTTGAAAGAGTTGTCTAGAACTTTGGAAGGCCTACAAAAATGTTGTCAAGATAGGTATATAATAGTGCAAGTTGAAAACTAAAAGTTGGACAGTACAATTAAGCTCCGCTCTATTCAAATCTTTTCTTCTCATTTTAAACAAAATAAGCTAAGATAATTATTATTTCTGAAATTAAAGTTCAATTCAAATAAATTTAATTTTTACAAAGATAAGTTCTATTAAAATACTCTCTCTATTCTTAAATAATTAACAGACTTCAATTCACTTTTTTTCACTATTCATATACTAACTTTACCATCGTTTTTAAGTAACGTATAAAAACAAAATTTATCATGAAATAGGTATTAAGATAAAGTTTAAGGGCAAATCAGTAGATTGACATGTGTATCGATCAAGTTTGACTTTGTCAAATTTTCAGGACAAAGGGATCAGAGTAAAATACATCAAACACTACACTTACAAACAAGTTTTCTCACTTGATTGAAGATGATAATTTTGCTAAAATGATGATTTAAATTGACAAGCTTAGACAAATGGGCTGGTGGAAATTAACTGAATTGATTGTGCTATTAATTGTACTTTAACCAATCCATTTTCAAGTTGTACCATATATATATTTGTAAGTTTTACATTATCTACATTTACATTTTTGAGTTTTGACCAACTTTACGTTGTTCATTAAAATGCAAGGAAACATATATAGTGATCACATAAAACCCTTTTTATATTAGTCTCAATAAATGCATTTAATATATATAAAATTATGAGAGTGAGGAATAGCTCAAATGGTTAGAGTATTTCTTCCGATCCTGAAATCGATTCTCACCCCGCCCTTGTGGCTCTCTAAACACCAAAAAAGTATATCAATATAAACTTCTGGTAAATTTTCTTTTAGATGATTGAATATGTTAATGATTGACAAACATGTGAAATTAATATTGACTAGCTAAAAAATATGTAGGAAGTACTAATAAATGGTCCACAACATACAATTGACTTATTGAGAATATCTGTCACTAAATGTGTGTAGGAGAAAATAAGACAAGAACGTGGAGCAAGAACCAGTTAAAACAAGCTAAGAGAGATTTGCATACTAAATTAATTACTTACCTAACTGTGATTAATGCATTTTTTGTTTGTTCATGATTATGTACGTGTAATTGACACCTTAACTTCCGTTATTACCCGTTCAAAAAACAAATATACGGAGTAAATATACAATTCAATGAGACTAAGACAAGGCAGACAACCCTCATGTTGTCATGTTGTAATTTTATCTATTCATGATTGTTAACAATATTAATACAACCAATCAAGTTAACTAGGTATTACCTTCATGATGAACTAATCAAGATAATTAAGTATTCTCATCATGATGAACCAATCAAGTTTAGTATTCTCTTTGTTTCTTGATGTTCTTTTCATTTATCTGAAAGACTGTAACATGATATATAATATGGAGTAGACATCTTTTATCATTATTAGTTTTACTTGAATAAAAAGTAATACTTCTCAACAATTTACTTTAATTTATGACTTACGTGATCCAATATCTTAATTATACTTTAAACTTTGGTAGCAACTACGGGCTTGTTTGGCATCATTTTTGGTTTTCATTTTCTTGTTTTTTTGAAAACCAAAAACCAAAAACAGGAAACAAGAAAAAGGTGTTTCCACTTTTCTGTTGTCAGTTTTCAAATTTATTATAATTTTAATATGTTTAAATAATTTTTGATTCATTATGGGACATATATCATATACTTTTAAAAAACAAAAAACCAAAAAACAGAAAACCACATCAATGCCAAACGAACCGTACGTTACTTGTTTTTAATTTGCTACTGTAACACTATTTGTTTTGATGATGGCATCTATTTTCACTGTATGGGGTCCACATTCAACAATTTTAAAAAATACTCCCAATTAAGGATCTTAATTTCAAATGGAAGAGTAAGAACGAAATTTGGAGAGAATTACATATAAATTTGGTGTAACATAAGCAAATTAAATCATAAATGAATTCATACATGTTTCAATTCCATATATTTACCCCAAATTGAAACCCCTAAATTATAAGCTTTATATTTTAGTGCCATATTAAATCACTAATATAAAGTGGCTATATATTAGGCAAATTGGAACCGCAAATAATTCACGTTCTTTATGTATTGTAAATAGTTTGAATTCTTTTAATTTTAGCGTAAAATCAAATTTTGTTTTTGAGGGAATAGTGGTTTTAGATCTACATTAGGGTTATAAAATTGGTGTAATTTAAATTCTATATTTTAAATTGGGGATAAATTACTTTTATCTTTAAATGTAGGTTTGTTGACAGTCTTGACACCATGTTAAAGGAAAATGAGATCATTAGTGGGCCTAATGCATGCTTGTCCATTTTTTTTTTTTTTGAAATAAAATTGATTCATAAATAAACTCATACGACATCTACAAAGAGATTTAAATCTAATAAATAGATAATAATTGAATCAAATAAAAATATTCCGTAAACAAAGCTACGATCGTTGTTGCAAATCGTACATTCTTCATACCCTCTTTCATATTGCTGTGATTTACAACCTTCATTGACGAGGGGGTCGGTCGATCCGTTGTAATCGTACTGAAAATTTATGTCTGATTCGCTAGATTGTAATCGAAATATTACCCGTGAAACAACTCTATATCAATCAATGAAATAAAAAAGCAAATCCTTCCTTAAAAGAGAGAAGAAAATCACAGTCTTTCAATTTTCGAAGGAGCCAAATCCTTCTAAAGAAGAAGAAAAACCCTGTCTTTCGAGGAAGAAATATTCATCCTAGTAGAGGAAGAATTATTATAAACCTAAAACTATAGACAAAAACACACAAAAACAAACAATTGGGGCTTTCCACCGATAAAAATCGATGGAGCCCCCTTTCAAAATTCAACAATGGAGGCTAGGGTTTTTGAGAGAGAATAGAGGAAAGAGAGGCTAGGGTTTTTTGCATGCTTGTCCATCTAATTCTAAATTTCTAACAATTAAAGAATTTCATAATTTTTTTTGTGAAAACAACTAATACTTGATTTTTTGTCAAAAAAAAAAAAAAAAAAAAAACTAATACTTGATTATTCTAGAGTTGATCAAAGATTGGGATGGGATGGGCTGGGCTGGGCTGATATTTGTTCTGCATTTTTCAGGCCAAGTAATTGGACCAGGCTAAACAATATGGACGACCGTAATTCATTGTTGCATCTATAAGACTACCTATAGGGTTAAACTACTACTTTATCGTAGATTTCGTATATATAATTATTTATTCCATCCATTATTGATGAAGTTCAACCATTATTACAAGTTTTTATTGTGTAATCAACCATATGGTGATCCATTTGATTTTGACATTCCTAATTTTTATAGTTTTGAATTAAA